GGATATTCAGAAAAAAATTGTAAAGCAACATCCTAAAATATTTCAATAAAATTAAGTAAATTAAGAAAAATTTAAAAAACATATATACATCGTAAAAGTACAATACAATGAAAAATACATGCATTCAAAATGACAGTACTCATACATTTCTTAGAACTACAAGGTAGATTATGACGCAACATCACTTACACTTCGAAACACTTTGAACTATTCACTATCAGCAATATCAAGAAACAAATATCTTTATAAGTTTCATTTTAGTAAATATTATGATCCAAAGTCCGATATTTAGAAATTTACATTAAGAAATGTTGTCATTGTCATTGTTATTTTTATCGTCGCCGTATGGGCTACGGTTGCAATTTTCGCCACTATGTGGCGGCTGCGATAAAGCCCTTAGCGTGATACAAGAACATTATATATAATTCCACGGTCATTCTGCAGTCTCTCTGCATAATTCTCTCTTTCTGCAATCTCTCCGGATATCTCCGCATCTGTTCCACAATTATTCCGTATATTTCTGCAATCATTCCGCAATCATCTCATAATTTTTCTGCATATTTCCGCAATCTTTCCGCATATCATCGACAAAAAATAAAAAATTAAAAATAAAAAGTAAAAAAAAAATAAAAAACAAAAATAAAAAACAAAAAATTTAATTAAAATTAATGAACAAGGAATAAATTTTTAATGAAACATTTAAATTAGTTTAAATTAATTACATAATTTTATTGATCTAATGGAATTGAACAGTTGCATTTATTGATAAATTTAATGACAAAGACGATTGGTCAATTCCAATAGAATCATTGGTCGATTGATTAATAAAGATAACATAGAATGATAAAAGACATTACAATTTCATGTTTTTACAATTTTCTAGAAATAATATAAACACATAATCATGTTGTAAATTATAAAAAAATTCACGTGATATCAGAATGAAAATTTAAAAAATAAAATGATTGCATGATTCTATTTGTAATATATCACTTAATAAGTAATAAAAATCTGAACAAGATCAGTATATAATATACAAAATATAAATATGTATATATAATATTGTTAAATTTACTTTTATTATATTACAATATTTATATTCATAATTATAATCACTTATATTACTTTTATACTTTAATATTAATAACTAATACATTTTAACATTAATTAATGAAATATTTACATATACAAATAATACAATAAAGATTTTGTATATTTATAAAAATTTTTTTAAACAGCAATTCTTACTTTTTTGAATGGTCTTGTTAAATTTTCATTATTTATTAGATAATATATTGTAAATAAGAACATGTAATAATTTTGTTAATTTTGCTCATATATAAATTAACGCTGTTAGAATTTTTTAAGGTATTCCGATTTCGTGTGAATTTCTTTGTGATTTATATCAATGCTAAAGTTGTAAAAACATGAAATTATAAATTATATGTCTCTTACTATTTTCAATTATCTCAAATAGCCAACCAATCATTCCATTGGAATTCACCAATCGTCTTTGTCGTTTGAATTTATCACCAAATGCAATTAAACAATTCCAATGGATAGATATATATTTATTCCGTGCCTTTTGGCTTTGAAAGGGTTCTACATCGATCTTACATAATTCTTAATTTGATAACAATGTATAAACCTAAGACGTATTAAAATGATACATAAATATTTTCTTAGGCTTAGTTACATAGGTTAAATCTCTTTCTGACTTTACTATATGCCTAATTTTCTATTTTTCTAGATTTCTTTTTTGTTTTTTTTCCTTGCTTTTACAATTTTCTTCATCCAACTGATTTCTTCTTCCTTTTCTCCTAGCAATTGAGTTATTCTTGTGCTATTGCTTATCTCTATTATACATTTTGTCGCCAAATGTTCTAATGTTTTAATCTCGGTATGGCACAGCCTACATACGTTCTTATCTGTTACTTAATTCTTCGTTTCCGCATCTAAATCTCGCAATAATTCTTTGAAGGTCTTTATGACTATCTTTCCTTAAATATTCGGGTATCTCTATCGTATATAATTCTTTACATCTTTTTTCACATTCAAATTCTGGATTTTATTATGTTGTATTTATTTCTTTACTTCTAGGCCCCTTGCCATTAGTTTGTTTACAACTTCGCGCTCTTCTTCTCTAAAGTTTTTAACTTCTTCTCCCGACATTCCATTCCTACCAAAATACATTTCTCTTTCCAATTCCCATTTCCTCTTATTTTCGCTATTTCTCTATTTCCCTAAAGCACTCTATCAATATTTTATTGTCCGATTTCGCCCTAATTTTTTCCTCAAATTTAATCGCTCTTTTACCTAATTCGATTCTTAACACCTATCTTTTCGTTTCTTCTCTAACTATATATCTCGGTGTATTCCACTCTAGTCTTAATGTCCATTTTATAAATTTATTCTGACACCTTTCTATTACTTCGTATTCTTTTCAACCCCTGATTTCCGTACATTATTATATTCTTCATTAAATGATCAAACATCTATATTTTCCTTTTGAAGTCTCTGGCGAATTCCTTTGTTTCCTTTGTTCTATTCCCTAAACTTGCTTTACAGCACATATAGCTTTTTTATTTGTCCCTTTGATATGTCTATCTGCGCTATTATTATTTGTAACGTATAACCTAGATATTTAAAATGATTGACTTCCTCTATCTTTGCTCTGTTCCAAAGCCACAGTTCTTTTTTTATTCTTCCACCATTTTTCCAACGTCATCATCTTTGATTTTTCTACACTCAGAATTCATTTTCTTTTCCCTAAAAAACTTGAAAATTTTTTTAACATTTTCCTCGTATCGTTAGCCTCCCTCGCCGGGATTAATACGATGTCGTCTGCATACGCAAGACTTCATATCTTCTCTTTGTTGATCACCAGACCTCTCACCTGTCTCCGGAGCACCTCCTCTATATTCGCTATGTATATTGCGAACTGTGTTGAACTCAAGGAGCATCCCCGTCTTACTTCTGCCTTTTACTTTTGTCCAGAACTATTTAGAGTATATTCCGTTTACTAGCACGGTATTAACTGTTTTCCTCTTATATTTCTTCTACTTTCCTTATCAAATGTCTATTTAATTCTTTTTTCTTCAAAATTGTCCATAATTTTTCTTTATTTATGATACCAAAGCTGCTTTCAAATCTGCGAAAAATACGTATACTTTTCTTCTTTTTTTATTTTTTTCTTTTTCACAATATAGTTTAATATATAAATTATCCATCATGCTGTTTTGAACGCTGCTTGCGTATCTGGAAGAATCTTATTTTTTTTCCATCTCCTATTTGACCCATTCTTCTACAATCATGTGTAGATTTTATATGCCCTATTGAGAAGCAAGATACCACGATAATTCGTTACTTTATCTATGTTACCTTTTTATATATAGAAACTATTATTTCCTTTCTCCAACTATTTAGGAAACCCTCCCCCCACCAGACTCTCTGTAAGATCTCTAATAATCTGTGTTTTGATTCATCTGTACAATATAATCAGGCTTCGTTTTTTACTTCATCTTCATCCGCAGCTTTTTTCTTCTTCAGTTTCTTTATTTGATTTTCCATTTCCGTTAGGGTGATCTCATCCGCTGAATCTAATATTTGTTCTTTCTCTTTTGTTGTCGTTTTTCTTTCTTCTGTCTCTCGGAGGAATCCTATAAAATATTGTCTTCATTCCTCTTCTGTAATTCATCTTGATATGTTTTCTCTTTCCCTTCTTTCCATGTTTATATATTGCCATGCTTCCATAGCTTTGCATAGATGTTATCACGATTTTTTGGAAAGAATGTCAACTTGACTATTTAAATCATATGTAAATTTCAAAATAAAGACAAAGCTTTATCTTATATTATATTCAATATCAAATACTATATTTTAATAATAAAATACTTTGTAAATTAATTTTTTTACAATTATATCTTAATGTTCTTATGCACAAAATAAGTTAAATTAATTGGTATAAAAAAAAGATATAGACATAGATGCCTTTAAAAAATTATACAATATGCAAGCACATATTTTCTTTGAAAAGAGATTATGTGTTTTCTTTAATCTTTTGCATTTAATGTTATTAAAAAACTAATCTTCAATTGTAACATAGGATGTAATACATAATATGAACTTAAATATATTAATATATGGATATAAAAATGAAATATATGATTTGAATATATATGCAATATGATGTTTGAGAGACAATTTTTTCATTTGCATATAATGAGATACATCTGTATTTCTTATAGTTGTTTATGAAAAATTATAATTATATAAAATAATTATATAAAAAAATCTAATCGATGTATGTTCTAAACTTTGGAGCAAACTTTGTGATAATTTAAGCTATTAGTAATAATAATATTCTTATTTCACATTACAAATTACATTAATTTAAAAAAAATAATAATTTTAACAATTTATCAATAAAATAATGAATTACATTATAATATTTAATACATTATAATATTTGTATATATGTCTTAATATAATATGAATTTGCTGAATTATTATGTGCATATTTCAGTTTTATATTAAAGCTATTTTAAACAATACAGAATTTTTTGAACTAAATCCATAGCAGTTTAGTGTAATAGCATAATATATAATTGTAATAATTATATCAAATTTTATTAATATATATCAATATCAGTTTTTGATATTATATTTTACTGATAATTATCAGCACCAGATTGTTTATATCAAATCTTGCACAAATAATAATATGATTTATTTATTATAATGTAAATTAAATTTTACTGATAATTTAAAATATATGCTTCAATGTCTTTAAATAATAAAATAAATTTTGTGCTCATTAATGTATTAATAAAAATAAATGTCTTTTTCATTATAATTTAAAATATATGAAAGAACAAGAGCATATGAAAGAACAAGAGCTTCATTGAAAAATATATACACATACATTAAATTTATGTATTATGTATGATTATAATTCTACTCACCATCCATGTTGAGATCATAATTGATACTTTTGTCTTGTATCATTTTACTGGCGTTTTATTAAGCTACCGGATATTTGAAGTTAGAAGATACTTAAGTTTAATAAAAACAATACTAAACTGTACTGTAACAATTAAAAAATTATGTTAATAAACGACAGAGCTGATAGATAATTTTCAAATTTTATTAACACTAGATATAACCTATAAATACGTTACATTTCTAGACTGAGCGAAATTATATATATCTCTATTTAAATATATGTAACAATAATAATAATTATATTACAACTGTTTTACAATACTCAATACCGAACGCTTATGATTTTTCTTTTAAAGTAACTCAATGTAAATATACAATTTCGTAATTACGATAGACTCCACCATACACATTAATCCGCACTACACTTGACTAAACTAGAATTGTGTCCTGATGTTTACTGCAAGTATTAGGCTGGATCCTCATGCAGATACCGATGTTTTGACACTGAGCGCTGATTGGTAAAAAATGGATAATGGAGGTAAAAAGTAAAGATTCATTCGCCGTTTTATCTCCATTCACCAATCAGCATCTGTGTCAAAGCGCTGGTGCTGCATGAGGATTCTAGCGACTCCTACACTCAGAGACTGGCCACGACCACAGACTTCTAACGTTTTTCACTGAGGGTGCGTTCCTTTATTCACTCCAAGTACTCATGCTATGACGTAATGGAAGTATACTGCGGCTATCGTTCCGTTTTAGTTTCGTGCGCTTTCTAACTGCTTCAAGACTTCAACTACTTCCGTTATAAAACGGAAACGCACGCAGTTGCAATATGTTTTCCTCCAACTAAAAATGGCTGACATATGTAATATTAAAAAAAATTAATTTTATTATATATATTAACTATAATATATATAAAATAATTAATAATAATAAAAAAATAAATAATTAATAAATAATAAAAAATTAATAATAATATTAATATTAATAACAATAATAAAAAAATAATTAATAATATTAAATAATTTCATAATTAGTAATAGAAGGCGCTTATGAAATTATAAATAAAAGATCAGGAGCATAAAAGCGAAAATCAATATGTGTCAAAACATTCATATATAATTAGTGAGAATAAATTAATATAATACATAAATTAATATAAGAATCTAATAAACATTAATAAACGAATTTAATAAACAAATGTCGTGTCGACTTTATATTAGGTCATCCTCAGTGTGATAAAAATTGAAATTGGTCGAAAAACAAGATTTAAAATCATAATAATCCTAACGATACGCGTCAAAAAAAGAGAAAAAGCTTCGCACGTTAATTACCCCGATAGCAAAACCTGCAGAAACAGATTTTGAACAAAAGCCTGCTACCAATATTTGGCAAAAAAGCAAATTGCACACAGAGTCTATAATATCTAACGTTGGGAGCAAACTGCTCTCAAAAATAGAACAAAGCCTGCTGATATGCTATGCCAGCAGATTGCTAGCAAAAACCGACAGAACCTGCTACCAACGTTTGATGGCAAAATGGTAACAAATTGCACACAGAGTCTGTAATATCTGACAATGTGAGCAAACTCTCCTCAAAAATATGACAAAGCTTGCTGACATGCTAGTGTCGGTCCACAATAGGTGATTTAAGCTTTAAGAAGTAAGAAATTGACCAATTATAATCGAATATGAAAAGAATAATCGACTATGATTGGTCAATTTCTTACGACTTAAAGATTAAATACTTATTGTGGACCGACACCTATGCCAGCAGATTGCTAGCAAAAATCGAGCAAAGCCTGTCCTTATGCATATTTAAACACAATAATTGGAAAACTACCGCTAGATGGCGTCCGTCCGATGGCGTTTCTTGCATGCAAAATTTATCAAACTTTCTATACAAGCGAAATCATAATCAAAATTTAAACATGCATTTATTATTTCCGTATTTATATGTTTGATGCAAGACGTAATCGTCCAATAAGGAAGTTAGGGCAAACTCTGTTCGGTTTCTGCCGCCAATCTTCTGGCATAGCATGTCAACAGGCTTTGTCGACAAATCTCGAGCCTAATGCGGACACAGATGACTATGGATTTGTAATCAATATTTGATCGAATTTGTTGTCAATTTGCTAGCAAATTGTTAACATTTTGTTTGCTGGGTATCTAACTAAGTATATTCCATAGGTGAAAATTATATAAAACGATGTTAAGAAACATAGTTAAAATTGTAAAGACAAAAGACCAAATACGCAGCATATGGCGGAGTCATCAATGATGAAAAGAGCCGGAAACACAAATCTTTGCCTCGCGGTCCGATAAATTGTCATTGAGATCGATATTGTGTCGGAGCATCTATGTGAGTGTATCGTGGCGAATTTCCAAGTAAAGATATCATGTTTGAACACCATGCAACGTCACAATTAGAAAATCGAAAGTTGGTCCTAAATAATAAAATCAAAAAAAGAAAAAAACTAATCAAAGTTGACCAACATCAAAAAGTAACCGAACATGGATGGCAATAACGTATTAAAAACAGAATGTGATAATAAAGATTAGAACTATGCAAACAGCAAAATAAAATACTTTGGAGACAGCCAGTGGCGCAAGTTGAATAACACGGAAATTACAATATGATATAATTAAACAATACAATATGATATGACGAACAATAAATGTGATTAAATACTGAAAGTCTGTGTAGGAATAAGACTAAGACCGACTTATAAAATAAAAACTGAATAGCATGATAAATGGGGGGGGGATGTAATGTTAGGAGGGAGAGGGTTTGTGGGGGGAGAATAATAAATTGAGGATAGGAAAGTAACAATTAGGTAAAAGATCTGTGTCACTTTGCTTATTTAAGCCTCTATTTAAGCATAAGATTGTTTTTTAATATTGTTGATTGTTTTGAATCATTTTCGAAACTATTCTTTTGTTCCAGGACGGTTCTTTGTCCAAAATTTTAATATTATCCCAATTAAACTCGTGACGCGATTCTCTTCTATGCATTGAAATGACCGAAGGAGAACTGTTGCCTTTGTTAATATCTCGGAAATGCTCATTAATTCTTGTTTTAAGTAATCTTTTTATCTGGTCAACATAAGTCGCATCGCAATCTTTGCAACTAATTTCATATAACTTCAGGGCATGCCATCTAGTATGTCTTTGCCTGTTTTAATAGATGTGCTGAGGAATTAGTTATTGAATAAGCTAGTTTAAGATTGAATCTATTGGTTATTGTTGAAAATTTCTCAGATACATTTTTGACATAAGAAAGAGAAGAATGGTTTGGGAGGAGTGTAATTTTCGGAATTGTCAATGGTATCCACACCGGAATCAACTGTTTGAACTCTGCAATTTTCTATATGATAAATGTTTAATTCGATTATTTATTATTGTGAAAATAAAATGCAAGAGTTATTCAGAAGAATATTAATCGAATTTACCAGATTCTTGGTGTGGAATTCAGGATGGAAAAGAAAGACTATCGACCATTCCAAAACAACACTTCTTTTGTGAGCTAGCGGATGGTGAGAGTAAAAATTGAGATATCCACTTGAATTGATTGGTTTTTTGTACAAGTCGAAAATAATCCTTCCCTCTCTAATTATTAGCAAGATATCAAGGAAGCTAATACGGCCATCATTTCCGATCCCCATAGTGAATTGTAATCTGTCATGATACGAATTGAAATTGTGTAAAATATCCTCAAGAAGGTTAGAAGGCGAGGCTAATAGAATGTCGTCAACATATCTGACATAGAACGGAAGATCAATAGGAATTTTGGCAATAGCAGCCTCCTTAAGATCTTGCATTACAATATCCGCGGTCACAATGATAAAGGCGAGCCCATGGGACTACCAAAAAACTGTTTGTAAAACGAATTGTTGAATGTAAAAAAAGTTGAATAAGGGAGAATAAAATAAGGGAGACAGCACGAAGAAATTTATTTTGCGGGATATTGGTATGATTAAATATATAGTTCCATCTCTTCTTAATGCTTTGTAAGTGTCGGTCCACAATAAGTGATTTAAGCTTTAAGAAATAAAAAATTGACCAATTATAATCGAATATGAAAAGAATAATCGACTATGGTTGGTCAGTGTCTTATGGTTTAAAGATTAAATACTTATTGTGGATCAACACTAACGCAAGGTCTGTTGAGACGTTGGTAAAAATCACATCTAGTGATACTAGCCTATAGTTAGGACATAACGATATCCCATTTAGCTTATCTACCAAATGGTGACTGTTACTGATATAACCGGGCGATTTAGGAATAGTTTTGAAGATTTTTTGAAGATGATGGAATGTAAAAAGGAGGCCAAAGGATATAATGGATTATTTATAGAAGAGACAATTATACGTAAAGGAATATCTGGTTTGTGGATCTTTAGTAATCCGTAAGCTCTCGGCAGAACACATCAGAAATCATCAGTCTTTTACACAAATTGTCTATAAAATCATTGCTCTTCCAACTTAATAAGAGGGAACGTGTTCCAGCTGTCAATCTTTTAATGGGATCAAAAGTGATCTTCGTATACGTGTTATTATCAGACAACAAAATTACAAGCCTGTTAGTATACTCAATTTTATTCATCAACACTGTGACTTTATCCTTGTCTGCTTTAGTAAAAAGTTTCAGGTGGTTTTTTATGAATTGTTTCGTGTTTTTATTAATCGTTTTCCAGCAACCAACTTCTAAGGGAAGCAATATCTAAGTGTAATGACTGTTTGTAATGATGTAACTTGTGTAGGATAGAAATGGAATCGTTTCTTTTGATTACACAAATCATCATGGCAGCAAACTGTTCTCAAAAATAAACCGAGCAGAATAGCAGATTAGCAGATTCTGCTCGGTTTTTGCTGACATAGCATATCAACAGGCTCTGCTCGGTTTTTGCTAACAATCTGCTGACATAGCATGTCAGCAAGCTTTGTCATATTTTTGAGAACAGTTTGCTCACATCGTCTGATATTACAGACTCTGTATTCAATTTGTTGCCTTTTTGCCATCAAACGTTGCTAACAAGCTGTACTCTAGTTTTGCTAG